GATGGGTTGTAATTAGTATTTGGGTGTTGAACATGATGTAATCTATGCAGAAATAGAAGTCTAATGATGTACACCTGAAATTTATACAATGTTATAAACCAATGTTACTGCAATAAACAACAAAAAAAATAAAAAAAAAGAAGTGGAATTGCTGGATCAAATGGTAATTCTATTTTTAATTTTTTGAGGAATCCCTATACTGTTTTCTATAATGGCTGCACCAATTTACATTTCCATGAACAGTGCACAGCAGTTCCATATTCTCCACATCCTCACCAACACTTCTTTTAGTCTTTTTGATAATAGCCATTCTAACAGGTGTGAGGTAATATCTCGTTGTGTTTTTGATTTGTATTTCCCTGATGATATATGATGCTGAGCATCTTTTCATGTGCCTATTGGCCATCTGTATGTCTTCTTCAGAAAAGTTGTCTATTCACATCTTCTGCCTATTTTTTATCACATGGTGTGTCTTTTTGCTATTGAGTTATATGAGTTCTTTATATATTTTGGATTTTAGCCCCTTATCAAATATATAACTTGCAAATATGCTCTCCCATTCAATAGGTTGCTTTTTCACTTTGTTGACAACTTCCTTTGCTGTGCAGATGCTTTTTAGTTTGTAGTCCCGCTTATTTTTGCTCTGTTGTTTTTCCTTTTGGTGTCAGGTTCAAAAATATCATCACCAAGACCTAAGTCAAGGAGCTTACTGCTTATGTTTTCTTCTAGGAGTTTTACAGTTTCAGGTCTTATGTTCAAGTCTTTAATCCATTTTGAGTTATTTTTGTGTATGGTTTAAAATAGTGGCCCAGTTTCATTCTTTTTCATGTGGCTGTCCAGTTTTCCCAACGACATTTATTCAAAAGACTGCCCTTTCCTCATTTCATATTCTTGTTTCCTGTGTCATAAATTAATTGACCGTATATGCATGAGTTTATTTCAGGCATGGAACATCTTTCCATTTATTTGTGTCTTTTTCAATTTCTTTCATTAATGTCTTGTGGTTTTCAATATACATGTCTTTCTCTTCCTTGGTTAAATTTATTCCTAGGTATTTTCTTCTTTTTGATGTAGTCATAAATGGGATTATGTTCTTAACTTCTCTCTATGATAGTTCATTGTTAGTGTATAGAAGTGTAACAAATTTTTCTGTATTGACTTTTTATCCTGCAAGTTTACTGAAGTCATTTATTAGTTCTAACAGTCTTTTCATGGAGTCTTTAGAGCTTTCTGTATATTATACATCATCTGCAAATAGCAACAGTTTTAGTTCTTCCTTATCAATTTGGATGCATTTTATTTTGCTTTCTTGCCTAATTGCTCTGGCTAGGACTTCCAATACTATGTTGAATAAAAGTGATGAAAGTAAGCATCCTTGTCTTGTTCCTGATCTTAAAGGAAAAGCTTTCAGCTTATCACTCTTGAGTAACATGTTAGCTGTGGGCTTACCATATATGGCCTTGATTATGTTGAGGTATGTTCCATCTATATCCACTTGGTTGAGAGTTTTTATCATAAATGGATGTTGAATTTTGTCAAATGTTTTTTCTGCTCTATTCAGATGATCATATTTTTATCTTTAGTTTTATTAATGTGGTATATCACATTGACTGATTTGCTAATATTGAAGCATCTTTGCATCCATGGAACAAATCCTACTTGAACATGGTGTATGAACCTTTTAATGTATTGTTGAATTGGTTTGCTAATATTTTGTTGAGGATTTTTGCATCTTTGTTCATCCTGATATTGGCCTATAATTTTCTTTTCTTGTGGCACCCTTATCTGCTTTTGCTATCTGGGTAATGCTGGCCTTTTCAAATGAGTTTCCACTTCTATTTTGTAGAAGAGTTTGAGAAGGATTGGTATTAATTTTTCTTTGAATATTTGGTAGAATTCACCAGTGAAGCCATCTGGTCCTGGACTTTTGTTTGATGGGAGGTTTTTGATTACTGATTCAATCCCCCTTCCCTTACTAGTAATCTATCTGTTTAGATTTTCTGTTTAATCATGATTCAGTCTTGTGAGGTTGTATGTTTCTAGGAATTTGTCTATTACTTCTTCTAGGTTGTCCAATTTGTTAGCATATAACTGTTTGTAGTAGTCTCTTATGATCCTTTTTATAACTATGCTATCAGTTGTAACATTTCCTCTTTCATTTCTGATTTTATTTGAGTCCTCTCTTTTTTTTATTCTTGGTGAGTCCAGCTAAAGGTTTGTCAATTTTACCTTTCCAAAGAATCACCTCTTAGTTTCATCTTTTCAATTGTCTTTTTAGTCTCTTTCATTTATTTCTGCTCTAATATTCATTATTTCCTTTAGGGCTTTTTAGTTAGTAGAAGAAATCTACTAACTTTGTGCTTCATTTTTTCTTTTTTCTAATTCCACAAGGTGTAAAGTTTGGTTATTTGAGACTATTCTTGTTTCTTGAGGTAGGCATTTATCACTATGAATTTCCCTCTTAGAACTGTTTTTACTACATCCTGTAAATTTTGGTATGTCACATTTCCATTTTCATTTGTCTCAAGGTATTTTTTGATTTCTCTTTTGTTTCCTGCTTTGACCCATTGGCTGTTGGTAGCATGTTGTTTAGTCTGCACATATTTGTGGATTATTCAGTTTTCTTCACGTAATTTCTAGTTTAATACCATTGTGTTCAGAAAAGATGCCTGATGTGAATTCAGTCTTCTTAGCTTTATTAATAATTTTTTTGTGGCCCAATATACAATCTATTTTGGAAAATGTTCCATGTGCAGTTGAGAAGAATGGGTGTTCTGTTGCTTTTGGAATGAATGTTCTGTAATATATGTTAAATCCTTCTGATCCAATGTGTCATTTAAGGCCTATGTTTCCTTACTGAATTTCTGTCTGGATGATTTATCCATTGATGTAAGTGGGATATTAAAATCTCCTACTATTACTGTATTGCTGTCTATTTCTCCCTTTACATCTGTTAATATTTGCATTATACATTTAGGTGTTCCTATGTTGGGTGCATAAATAGTTACAAATGTTACATCCTTCTATTGGATTGACCTCTTTATCATTATGTAATGCCCTTTTTTGTCACTTATTACAGTCTTTGTTTTAAAGTCTATTTTGTCTGATATAAGTATACTACCTCAGTTTTCTCTTGGTTTTGATTTGCATGGAATATCTTTTTCCATCCCTTTGCTTACAGTGTGTGTGTCCTTTTTTATCCATTCAGCCACTCTGTGTCTTTTGATTGGAAAATTTAGTCCATTTACATTTAAACTAATTATTGACAGGTGTGTTTATTGCCATTTTGTTAATTGTTTTCTGGCTGTTTTTATAGTTCCTGTCTGTCCCTTTCTTCTTTTGCTCTCTTCCTTTGTGATTTGATGACTTGCTGAGTGGTATGTTTATATTTCTTTCTCACAATCTTTTGTGGGTTTACTATAGGTTTTTGCTTTGTGGTTACCATTTTAGCTATTTTGAATATTGCTATGAATGTGGCTGTACAATTTATCTCCTTGGGACTCTACTTTCAATCTTTTGGGTATGTACCCAGAAGTGGAATTGCAGGATCATATGGTAATTCTATGTTTAATTTTTTGAATGATTTCCATATTGTTTTCCATAGTGGCTACACCATTTCACATTCTGACCAACAGTGCACAAAAGTCGCAATTTATCCTAGTCTTTGCCAACACTTGTTATTTTCTATGTTTTTTGTGTATTTTTGATAGTGGCTATCCTAATGGATGTGAGGTGATATCTCATTATGGTTTTGATTTGCATTTCTCTAATGATTAGTGATGGTGATCATTTTTCATATGCCATCTTCCATCTTCTTTGGAAAAATGTCTATTTAAGTCCTTTGAATCAGGTTATTTGGTTTTTAGTTGAGTTAGAGGACTTCTATATATATTTTGGATATTAACCTCTTATCAGATGTGATTGCAAATATTTTTTCTCATTGCACAGGTTCTTTCCACTCTGTTGATTATTTCCTTTAATGTGTAGAAGTTTTTCAGTTTCATGTAGTATCATTTGTCTATTTTGCTTTTGTTGTCTGTGCTTTTGGCATCATATCCAAGAAATCACTGCCAAGACCAATGTCATGAAGTTTTTCCCCTATGTTTTCTTCTAGGACTTTTATAGTCTTAGGTCTTCTATTTAAGTATTTAATCCATTTTGAGTTAATTTTTATGAGTGGTGTAAGCTAAGGGCCCAATTTCATTCTTTTCATGTGGATGTCCAGTTTTTCTAACACCATTTGTTTATGAGACTCTCCTTTCCACCTTGTGTGGTCTTTGCACCCTTGTCAAAGATCATTTGACCATATACACAGGGGTTTATTTGTTATTTATGGGCTTTCTATTCTGTTCCATTAATCTGTGTGTCTGTCTTTATGCCAGTACCACATTTTCTTGATTACTTAGCCTTGTAATATGTTTTGAAATCAGGAATTGTGAGACTTCCAAATTTTTTGTTCTTTTTCAAGATCTCTTTGGCTACTTGGGGTCCTATGAGATTCCATATGAATTGAAGAAAGATTTATTTTTTAATTTCTGCAAAAAAATGCCATTGAGGCTTTGATAGTGATTCCATTGAATCTTTAGATTGCTTTAGATTGGGTAGTATAGATATTTTAATAATGTTAAGTGTTCCAATCCATGAACATAGGATGTCTTTCCATTTATTTGTCCTCTTTAATTTCTTTCAGTAATATTTTGTACTTTTCCGTGTACAAGTCTTTTGCCTCCTTGGTTAAGTTCATTCTAAGTATTTTACTCTTTTTGGTGCTATTGTAAATAGGATTGTTTTCTTAATTTCCTGTTTAGAATTTTTTGTTGTTAGGGTATAAAAATGCAACTGATTTTGTGTTGATTTTGTATCTTGCAACTTGGCTGGATTTGATTTTTTTTAGTCCAAACAGTTGTGTATGTGTGTATAATCATTACAATTTTCTAAAGATCATGTCATTTATAAACAGAAATCATGTTACTTCTTCCTTTCCAATTTGAATGCTTTTTTTTTTTACTTGCTTAATTGTTCTGGCTAGCATTTCCAGTACTGTTGTATAGAATTGGTGAGAGTGGGCATCCTTGCCTTCTTCCTGATTTTAGAGGAAATGCTTTTAGTCTTTCACCATCAAGTATGATATTAGCTGTTGGCTTTTCATACATTGCCTTTATTATGTTGAAGCAGTTTCCTTCTATTCTTAGTTTGCTGACAGTTTTTATCATAAAAACTTGTCGAATTTTGTCAAGTTTTTTTCCTGCATCAATTGAGATGATGATATGATTTTTCTCCTTCATTCTGTTATTTTGGTGTATTATATTGATTTTTTTATATGTTGAACCATCCTTACATTCTAAGAGTAAATCTTAGTTGGTCTTAGTCTATAATCCTTTTAATGTGCCATTGAATTTTGCTAGTATTTTGTCGAGGATTTTTGCATCGATATTCATCAGAGATGTTGGTCTATAGTTTTATTCTCTTATAATATCTTTGTCTGACTTTAGTATCAAGATAATACTGGTCTCATAAAATGAGTTTGGAAGTGATACCTCCTCCTCCATTTTTTGGAAGAGTTTGAGGAGGACTGGTGCTAATTCTTTTTTAAATGTTTGGTAGAATTCTCCAATGAAGCCAACTGGCCCTGGCCTTTTCTTTATTGGAAGGTTTCTGATTATTAATTCAATCCCTTTACTAATTATAAGTCTGTTCAGATATTTTATATCTTCATGATTCAGTTTTTGTAGGTTGTACTTTTCTAGGATTTATCCATTTTTTCTAGGTTATCCAATTTGTTCACATACAATTGTTCATAAGTCTCTTATAATCCTTTGTATTTCTGTGGCATCAGTTGTAACATCTCCTTTTTCATTTCTAATTTTAGTTAAGTCTTCTTTCTTTTGTTCCTACTTAAACTAGCTAAGAAACTCAATTTTTTGATCTTTTCAAAAAACCAACTCTTACTTTCATTTTTTTATTGTCTATTTTGTTTAATTATGCTGTAATTTTTATTTTCTTCCCTCTGCTAACTTTGGGTTTAATTTATTCTTTTTCCAGTTCCTTGATATGTAACGTTAGGTTGAGATCTTTCTTCTTTTTTAATATAGGCATTTATCACTATAAACCTTCCCCTACATACTGCCTTTGCTGCAGCTCATAAGTTTTGGTATGTTACATTTTTGTTTTACTTTACTCAAGATACTTTCTAATTTCCCTTGTGATTTCTTCTTTGACCCATTGCTTTCATAAGAGTGTATAATTTCCACATATTTGTATATTTTCCAATTTTCCTTTTGCTATTGATTTCTACTTTCATTACATTATTTTTGAAGATACTTTGTATGATTTCAATCATCTTAACTTTAAGACTTGTTTTGTAGCCTGAAATATGGTCTATCATGGAAAGTATTCCATGTGCACTTGAGAGGAATGTATATTCTGCTATTAAGGCATGGAGTGTTCTGTATATGTCTGTTAGGCCTAACTGGTCTATAATGTTATTTGAGTTTTCTGCTTCTTTACTGATCTTGTATCTGATTATTCTATCCACTATTGAAAGTAGGTATTGAATTCTCCTATTGTGTTGCCATCCATTTCTCCCTTCAATTCTGTCAATGCTTACTTCATATATTTGGGAGCTCTAATGTTAGGTGCATATATATTTATAATTGTTATATCTCCCCCCATGAGCTGGTCCTTTAATCATTATATAATGTCCTTATTTGTCTTTGTGACAAATTATTGACCTAAGTCTATTTTGTCTGATAAAAGTATGGCCACTTCTGCTCTCTTTTGGTTACCATTTGCATGGAATATCTTTTTCTATCCTTTTACTTTCAT